CTAGCCTGAGGGAGAGGACCCCGACGCCAGCCTGAGGGAGAGGACCCCGAGACTAGCCTGAGGGAGAGGACCCCGACGCCAGCCTGAGGGAAAGGACCCCGGCGCCAGCCTGAGGGAGAGGACCCCGACGCCAGCCTGAGGGAGATGACCCCAAGACCAGCCTGAGGGAGAGGACTCCGATGCCAGCCTGAGGGAGAGGACCCCAAGACCAGCCTGAGGGAGAGGACCCCGACGCCAGCCTGAGGGAGAGGACCCCAAGACCAGCCTGAGGGAGAGGACTCCGATGCCAGCCTGAGGGAGAGGACCCCAAGACCAGCCTGAGGGAGAAGACCCCAAGACCAGCCTGAGGGAGAGGACCCCAAGACCAGCCTGAGGGAGAGGACCCCGACGCCAGCCTGAGGGAGAGGACCCCAAGACCAGCCTGAGGGAGAGGACCCCGAGACTAGCCTGAGGGAGAGGACCCCAAGACCAGCCTGAGGGAGAGGACCACGACGCTAGCCTGAGGGAGAGGACCCCGACGCTAGCCTGAGGGAGTGTAAGGGTTACTATAAACACCTCTATACATTGGTAACAGGGAAGTAGTAAAAGCTTAAGTGGCTAGAACTCCCTTTTATTGATGGAACTAGCACACTGAGAATATACCCACACGATGACAGTCTTGGATTATGGCTGGTCACTTGGGGTCATCCGGGATGCCCAGCCCAGCGGGCAGGTATGACCTCGACCGACCCGCGGCACACTCTCGTCGCACTCTGCCTTGACAGGGCCATCCTTGGAGAATAAATAGCGATGATTGGAAGCCAGGGGCGGAGCTACAGGGGCGTGGCTAAAGAAACTGCCAATGCCCGACCTTCGCGTGGGCGTGGCCTCCCTATTTCCTGCCCAGGGTGTGGCTCCCTGCGGCTGGCGCCCATGGGCCTGAGAATGGTCACTTTTTCCCTTTTTGCCTCGCCCCGGGGGGTAGCCCTTCTCGGGAGGTCAGGTCAGGCCAGCTGGAGGGAGGTCAGGTCCAGATGTTGAATCTCACACCGCTCTGCCACCTACCCTCGCCTCGTCCTCGTGGCGATCTAGACTTCCTCAAGGGTAACCCAACTTGGCTGGTTCCAACTTGTTCGTCCTCGATCTCGGGTGCGGTATCCTTGGTGCATCTCCGTGGCTGCTCGTTCTGTGTCGTCGTCCTCGTTCTGGTCCCTGGGAATTCGTTCGTCCTCGACATCCTCACGTCCTCGACTGGCCTCGCACGGTCCTCGTCCAGACATCCTCGTCTTACGCGCACAGGTCCAACTCGGCGGCTTATTCGCCCAATGCACGTCTCGCAGATCTCCGTCCAGGGCCTTCTCGGCTGCGCGCTCGTGCAGACGTCCTCGTAATCGTCGTCAGGATCTACGGGCGTCCGGCAGGAAGCGTCCTCTTCAACATCGTAGGGCGGCTGATACCTGCACTAATGAGCTCCTGGAGTTTGACTGAGCCTGCGGCGTCCAGGCAGGCGGCGCCCGTCCATAGCATCATAGGGCGGCGCGCCTGTACTGGCGAGCTCCTGTCTTCGCTGGATCTCGGGTGTCCTGGCGAGAGGCGATCCTCCGATGACGTTTTCCAATGGCTTCCGAAGGTGACCGTTTCTGCAGCAGGGCCTCCTTCGGTGCCGTTTCAGATATCGGGAACCAGAATAACACATAATGGGCCAGATAGTGAGAGAAGGAAAACGACAGAGAAGAGAAGGTGTTAAAAGCTAAAGCCGATTTTTTGTTTCGTAATTTGCAGTTTTTAAAGTTGAATTTTCGTTATTTTCGTCTTTTTTTTTTCTTTTTGTGTTTTGTGTTCACAAAGTTAAGTTAAAAGAGGAAAATAGAAGAGGGAGACGTTGGTAGCGATCCGCAAGGATTCTCTTGAGCTACCATCATCTCGTGAAATGATAAAGTAAGGGAAACGACAATTGGCATTCCGCAAGGAATTACTTGAACCAATGTCGAAACAGAAGGAAAAGTATGTCAATACGAAATCATGTACAAGTCACGCATCACGACTAACAATATTGCGGCAATAAATACGTATGCCTGCAAATAAGACAGCAGCAAATCCTATTAATGAAGGTTTCAGTGTCTTTTGTCTGCGTCGGTGAGTGAGTATGTGTGCATGTTTGAGTGACAGTGATTGATGAGTGTTAAATGGAAGTAAGAGTGACCTCATAGCAGTAGCGTTGCCAACACGCTGAATAAAGTTCATATTAACAATAATGCGACTAATTATTTATAGACGTAATTCAAAATTATTTCAAGTATCGCATTGAATTTAACATTTAATGATATGCGACAAAATGACGCATTAATGAATGGTGACGTGAAAATTATTCGCAAGCCTTTTCGCGAGCAAATCTTCTCGAGAATTTCCCCGAGGAAATAGGAGTCTTACCGGTCATGCAGACTTCATTTGACGGGGGGACATGACCCAAAAATTGCCGTATTCTATGAAGCTTAAACGAGTTGGGAAAATCTATAAATTA